ACTTGTTGGTAGCTGATGTCACTAGTCTTGGGGACTTGTTGGTAGCTGATGTCACTAGTCTGGGGAACTTGTTGGTAGCTGATGTCACTAGTCTTGGGGAACTTGTTGGTAACTGATGTCACTAGTCTTTGGGACTTGTTGGTAGCTGATGTCACTAGTCTAGAGGACTTGTTGGTAGCTGATGTCACTAGTCTTGGGGACTTGTTGGTAGCTGATGTCACTAGTCTGGGGAACTTGTTGGTAGCTGATGTCACTAGTTTTGGGGACTTGTTGGTAGCTGATGTCACTAATCTGGGGAACTTGTTGGTAGCTGAGGTGACTAGTCTAGGGGACTTGTTGGTAGCTGATGGCACTAGTCTTGGGGAACTTGTTGGTAGCTGATGTGACTAGTCTTGGGAACTTGTTGGGGGCTGATGTCACTAGGCTTGGGAACTTGGTGGGGGCTGATGTCACTAGGCTTGGGGACTTGTTGGGAGCTGATGTCACTAGTCTTTGGGTCTTGTTGGTAGCTGATGTTACTAGTCTTGGGGACTTGATGGTAGATGATTTCGCTAGTCTGGGGAACTTGTTGATAGCTGATGTCACTAGTTTTGGGGTCTTGTTGGTAGCTGATGTTACTAGTGATGTCACTAGTCTTGGGGACTTGTTGGTAGCTGATGTCACTAGTCTTGGGAACTTGTTGGGGGCTGATGTCACTAGTCTTGGGGACTTGTTGGTAGCTGATGTCACTAGTCTTTGGGACTTGTTGGTAGCTGATGTTACTAGTCTTGGGGACTTGTTGGTAGCTGATGTCGCTAGTCTGGGGAACTTGTTGGGGGCTGGTGTCACTGGGCTTGAGGACATTTTGTGTCTGAAATTTATCCTGATATAGAATAGCTGATACGATTGGTGTAATGTCTGATCTATCAGTCCTGAAAAAGGTACCAACATCTTTCAGAAAAAACATTCTGTTTCTGACATGTTTGACATTGGATCTGTGACAAATGTTGAGCCTTTTTACAGAAAGGTAGAGAATTTGGATCGGCATATTGTAAATAATATAGAATTATTGTTGTGACGTACATGTGCTTGGTCTGTTGTCTCTCCGCATGCACATCCCAGTTCCTACCAGGGCACCACCAGAACCAATATGCAAATCAATAGTACACTTATCTCCAGGAAACTTCAGAATACTTACAGCCACGCGGCATGGTTTGGTTAGAAGCTAAGCCCAAGCATGGTTTTGTTAGCTTCAGATAGGAAAGGGTAAAATCATTTAACCTTGTAATAGTTTTATGTGTGTTTCTGGAATTAGCTAATTAATCTAAATTACAATTAATTCCTTTCTTTTTCTTTGATGTATTGGGAGGAAATTTTGAAGAAATGTTTTTCAAGCTAGTCAGACGGGTGGAGAACAAATTGCATGTCCTGGTAACGGCTTCTGGTATGCAGGGGCATTTCTGCTAGAAAATGATGTACACAAAATGTTCACAACCTTACATTCTAATAAAAACAAATAATGTGACCCCTGACAGCAATGGTGATGGTCTGCCCGGCAGACGTGCTAAAATCTGATTTCATGATTCCAAATTTGTGCTTGAACAGATAATGAAAAATCATGACATACAAGAATGTTGCTCTCATAAACAATTTTTTGAAAATGGATTCTTGGCAAGACACATTAGTTGTAGAACGGTATGAAGCTATCAATTGGTAATGGTTAGAAACCTGAAAGTTATGTCAGAGCTAGCACGATCAGATCAATACAAACATCTCTTGTTTCAGGAAGTCTATTTTCTATCTACTCCAATGTTACTTCCATTGAATTTTCTGCATACAGGTTGAAATTTCCTAAAGAGCAACGCTTGGGGAAAATAAACAGTTTTTACTCTACTAAATATCGTGTAACAAGCCATGTTGTCAGAGCTAGCACGATCAGATCAATACAAACATCTCTTGTTTCAGGAAGTATATTTTCCTAATTATCTACTCCAATATTACTTCCTTTGAATTTTCTGCATACAGGTTGAAATTTCCTACAACGCTTGGGGAAAATGAAGAGTTTTTACTCTACTAAAAAGTAATATCGTGTAACAAGCCATGTTTATCTGTGGTTTAAAAATTGAAAACAAATTTCACAGATGATTTGAAACTTGAAGAAAAAATGCAGAAGAACGTGATTAACTGCCAATTAGAGGTGTGTTTCTTTTGAGAAACAAGGGTGATTTATATCTTCTGTATATTTTGGCAGACTTTGATTTTTGTGTCAAAGGAACTTTCTGGCACCTGACTACTAGGAGTAGTTAGCAGTGTTCACTTTAATCCTTCAGCACCTGACTGATCAGGTGTAGTACTTCTGCCTTACTACAGCACTTTTGATGGAAGGCCTGTCATTTTGTGGAATGCCTCCTCATAAAATGGTTGTCTGTTCAAAGTGTTCTGTAGGGTAATTAGACAGGTCTTTACAAGCCTACCCACCACATCCCGGCCCTGGATTTCTAGTTTTACCAACCTGTTGAATTTCTGTGTTCTTCTCTAACTTTGTTTGATAAGGTTTCAGAAAGTCAAAACATCCATAGCTTTTGTGTTATAGGACTTTGTGTGTTTAAAATATTTGGTATGTTGACTTTTTTCCATGTGTATTATTTGAACTGCACTGATTATAAGCTGTCAAAAGCATTAAAAGTTATTTGTAAGCTTAAAATAAGTCAAATATATTCACATATACAATAGAACTAGACCTGTTCATAGGTTATTAAGGAACTGTCATGTTCCATAAATTGTTTCCAGAAAATGTGTGTTATTTCCCATATTTTAAAATGTTCTGACACTTACAAACAAAAACATGTGGCTCCCTGATTTTCTAGACGACTTTAATTAACATTCTGTCAAAATCTGTCTCCAGTCTAGTTAAAGAGAAGTGAACAAGGACGGTAACTTATGTTTGTTTAGGAATATCTCCATTCATGGTCCGTATACTCCTTCTACATGTCATTTATCAGGAGACAAACGGAGCCATAATACATTTACAGAGTGCCTACATTTACAGAGTCTTACCACATTTACAGAGTCTTACCACATTTACAGAGTCTTAGCTCATTTACAGAGTCTTACCACATTTACAGAGTCTTACCACATTTACAGAGTCTTAGCAAATTTACATAGTCTTAGCACATTTACATAGTCTTAGCACATTTACAGAGTCTTAGCTCATTTACAGAGTAATAGCACATTTACAGAGTCTTAGCACATTTACTGAGTTACACTTACAAACTTCTTTAGTTTTTAGGCAATATTTCACATGTCAATCACATTACACCAAAGCATCTTTAATTTCTACAGATAATGTACATGATAAGGTGCTCGTTGCATTGATTTGATTGACCAGAATCAGTAAGTTATACATTATAAAATAAATATTGCAATGGTCTGATTGGTGAGACGTGCTAAGTGTCTTGATGAAAAACATTTCATGAGGTTAGAATGTGTGTCTAGTTAGTTTTGTTGTTCTTTCTGAATTTAATTCTGGGATTTATTCTATGTGTATGCTGAATATTTAGGTGTTGGTGCCGTCAGTGTTGGATGATACAGGGTGGCTTTGTGTCTTGGTATTTTGTAGAGCTATATAATCCCCTGGGTCTGGTAGCAGACAATATATGGTAAAAGCATTATAATTTGAATTTGTATGGCACATTAATCCTGACAGCTGGACAGGAGGATATAACTTAGATAAGTCAATGGCGGTAAACCAATTATCTGTTGCATTTTTGAATACTTATAGAAGATGCATAAACTTAGCTTGATTTTGTAGTTTAAATGTTAATTGTTATGTTATCAGCTAAAATAATATAGCACTATACCATAAAGTGTATTTTATACAAGTATCAAAAATACTGACTGTTTTATACGACTGATTGACTACATGTATACATATGTGGGATATGTCAGTGATATGTTCAAACTTCTCAGACCACCATCTAATTACCAGTATAGTGTTGGTAGAAATTCTCTGGACTGGACATTAATTTAGACTCTGACAGATGTATAAACACTTGTTGTTCCCCTAATAGCTAAGGTCTAGATGTAGTTTCAATCATGTTTTGAACAACTTTGGCTTTCATCTATAGGCATGCAGACGAAACCATGTTTTTGGGATAGTTAGTATAAGTAGTGGCTATTGATGCCAGAGGGTACAGCTACGGGACATGAGATTAACACTAGTACCGGGCCCGGGACATGAGATTAACACTAGTACCAGGCCCGGGACATGAGATTAACACTAGTACCATGCCTGGGACATGAGATTAACACTAGTACCGGGCCCGGGACATGATATTAACACTAGTACCGGGCCCGGGACATGAGATTAATACTAGTACCGGGCCCGGGACATGAGATTAACACTAGTCCCATGCCTGGGACATGAGATTAACACTAGTACCAGGCCCCGCCCATGAGATTAACACTAGTACCATGCCTGGGACATGAGATTAACACTAGTACCAGGCCCCGCCCATGAGATTAACACTAGTACCATGCCTGGGACATGAGATTAACACTAGTACCGGGCCTGGGACATGAGATTAACACTAGTACCGGGCCCGGAACATGAGATTAACACTAGTACCGGGCCTGGAACATGAGATTAACACTAGTACTGGGCCCGGAACATGAGATTAACACTAGTACCGGGCCCGGGACATGAGATTAACACTAGTACCGGCCCATATTCATGAAATCGTTCTCAGCCATGGATTTTGTCCCGGAACCAACTTTCTTATAACTCACTTATAATTAAATCATGTCAAATGATCAAAATGTCAAATGTTAACATTGAAAGCAGTATTTGGCCTTGAATTCTTAAAAAGTATTTCCCAATCATTGGCAACATAAGTTTATAATATTAATTTATAAACGGAACAAGAAATTTGGCTTGAGCACAAAATCCATGCTTGAGATGAGAACAGTTTCCTGAATACGGGCCCTGAAGTAGGACAGAACAGAATTTGTTTCTCAGGATTAACACTAGTGCTACAAAAAAAAAAAATTCTTTTAATATCAATGTTATTGCAGTTAAATACACATAATAGAATATTAATTCATATTTTGAGTGATAGAGTAAATCCTCCTTACACCATTTTCATGGCTTCCTTATTATATATATCGCCTCACAATGATGGAGTCATCCTATTGTCATGATCTGTAAATGTTGTAGTAGAAGTGTGTTTTGTGGCCTCGAGACACATCAACCATTCATAGTTATCCCCCACCTCCACCCACAACAAACACAGGGGGAGGGGTTATTCTGGAATCAACATGGACAGGGGGAGGGGTTATTCTGGAATCAACAGAGACAGGGGGAGGGGTAATTCTAGAGACAGGGTGTTTGTCTATCAGCCTGACTGATGACAGATGCTTGTCTGATGCCCAGGGACTTACCTTCTCTGTCAGTTTTTATGAAACTTGGTGCACATGATCTATATACCTTAAGGTCGCTTTGTGTTTGCTATTAATCTATGGTTTCCTCTAGACAGGTACAGAGAGAGTATTAGGCAGTGGTAATCTATGGTTCCCTCCAGACAGGTACATAGAGAGTTCACCAGTGGTAATCTATGGTTCCCTCTGGACTGGCACAGAGAGAGTAAGGCAGTGGTAATCTATGGTGTCCTCCAGACTGGTACATAGAGAGTTTACCAGTGGTAATCTATGGTTCCCTCTGGACTGGCACAGAGAGAGTAAGGCAGTGGTAATCTATGGTGTCCTCCCGACTGGTACATAGAGAGTTAGGCAGTGGTAATCTATGGTTCCCTCCAGACTGGTACAGAGAGAGTGTTAATCAGTGGTAATCTATGGTTCCCTCCAGACAGGTACAGAGAGAGTTAGGCAGTGGAAATCTATGGTGTTCTCCCGACTGATACAGAGAGAGTTAGGCAGTGGTAATCTATGGTTCCCTCCAGACAGGGACAGAGAGAGTTAGGCAGTGGAAATCTATGGTGTACTCCCGACAGGTACAGAGAGAGTTAGGCAGTGGGAATCTATGGTGTTCTC